CATAGGGTGCTTCAAAGCGAGGGTGTACACAAGTACTGTTTGGCCAAAGCATCTGTGCCTGCCTCCCTGCCTGATAGAGGTGATGAGCACGATGCCCTCATTCAACGAGATCAACGGCATAGAGATGCACCAGCACTACCACTACCTGACGGAGATCCTCAAGGGCCACTTCAGCTTCGATGGGGTTGTCATGAGCGACTGGAACGCCCACGCTGACATACCTTCGTGCACATCCGACAGCTGCCCACAAGGCATCAACGCGGGCGTACAACACGCATCCTCCTGTCTCACACACGCACTCATTGTCACTCCCTCACTTGACACCTTATCAGATTGACATGTTCCTCCTCTCCACGGTGGGTGGCGATCACTACTCCAAGTTTATCCAGAACACTCTCCAGACTGTCAGAAATGGCACCGTACCGCAGTCGCGCATCGACGACGCCGCCAGACGTGTGTTGCGTCTTAAGGCCCGGCTAGGCATGATCGGACCTGGCGTCAACGTACTGGACAGAATAGACGACGTCAACATAACCGCCATCGGCAGCCCAGAGCACACGGCCGTCGCCAGGGAAACCGTACAAAAGTCGGCGGTGCTGCTAAGGTGAGAGGAGAAAGATCAGAGAGCAAGTCTAAAGTGTTTCGGTACGTGGTATTTGAGCAGAACAACGGCGGTGTGTTGCCGCTGAAGCCACGGGCCGGCATGAGGGTGTTGGTGATGGGCAAGGCGCGATGGATCCATCTCGCGTGTGGGGGGTGGACCATGGGGTGGCAGGGACAGGGTTAGCTCAAAACGCATGAGCAACGAGTGTGTCCTGGATCATGTTTCTCTCTGCTTGCTGTCATTCCCCCCTCCAGTCAACGACGACGTTTTCGATACGGTGGACAATGCCGTCTCTCTGATAAAGGCCCTCCAGGAGCACAGCAACAGAAATAACTACACGGTGGTTGACGACGAGGAAGGCAAAGGCATGCTGAACAGCGACTACGACGTCATTATACATGTCATTGCCGAAGACCCCTACGCCGAGGTCTATGGCGACCTGGATGATGGAGAAAGCCTCATGCACCATCGAAACCAGTACGCACACATTCTTCGCCGTGTAGCTGTTGATGAGTCGTACTCTGGTTGCATGTGGCACAGGTCCAGATCCGGCAGGCATACGTACCCAGAGGACTTGATCCGCCTGAAGCATGCACGCGACAGCGCACCCACGACCCCAATAATTACCATTTTGTACTCAGGCAGGCCGCTGTACGTCAACGAAGAAATAAATCTCTCAGACGCCTTCGTCGCGGCCTGGCTGCCATGCAAACAGGCGGGCCCCGGGCTGACCGACCTCCCCTTCGGTGCGGTGAATTTCACCGGCCGGTTATCAATGAAATGGCCCGATCACCCATGCCAGTTCAACATCCGCAAGGGCGACGGGCAGCTGCCGCGATTCCCCTACAGCTATGGCCTCTCTTACGAGGACACGCACCCTCGGAATGACATGCCACTTCTTGACGTTATTGAGCTCAACACGTGTCTCAATCCGTGCAGTGATTTAGACGGGGAAGACAACACCTGGGAGTCGCCCGATTGTAACTTAGGAAGATCCTGATGATATTTATTACCCTGACAAGGGAGATTACCCTGACAAGGACCTGCAGCTTCTTGACGTTGTAGAGCGCACCACGTGCGTCAATCCGTGCAGTGATCTACTCGGGGAAGACAACACCTGGGAGTTGCCCGACTGCAACTTGGGGCGATTGT